ACTGCATTTAAAACTGTAAAATAGATCAAACAACAACTAACTGAAGAATACATCAGATTCGAGCTCCATTAGTAACCTTAACTAATTATACACACGTATTAATTCATGAAATGCCGTTTTATTATTTATTGAGCTTTAATACCGTGATAGAAAATAGGATAAGAAATCATTACTTGTTTCGGAGTCTGAAATCAGGTTCTCACTGCGCCTAGGAGCTGTCTCTAAATTCCCTGAATTTTTTTTCGGAAACTGAAATAAACTTCCGGTACGTACACATATCCTGAAAAAACTCAAAATCAGACCTAGGGCCTACTCGGCCATTCTCGAAAACTCCAGCACGGCGGCTACGCCATGCTCCGGCGACGGCGCCGCCGCCCGCGGCGGCGATCCGTCTCGGGTTGTCCATTTTCGGCCATTTTCAGCCGAATTCGGCCAAACTCACATTGATTCCTGCGATAAAGCACCCCTATGGCCCTCGGTGGGCCAAAAAATTACGAAAAATTGAGACTTACCGGCGGCGGAGCTCTCGGGTGCGCCGACTTCTCTGGCACGAGTCACGATTTGATTTTTTCTTCGGTCAACTTGTAGAGAAAAGGACGGTGATCATAGTGGTGTAAAAATTACATCAAACGGGAACCGGGAAGGGCCTCATCGGAGGCAAAAACTGAGGAAAGCCGTGGCGGCGCCGCTGGACTTCAGCGGTGTTTTTCGGCCGATTGGCCGGTGGTTTGGCTCTGATTTTGCCACAAGTAGATTCAGCATCGAAAAACGAGTCCAAAGGATAAATTTTACCTCGTTTGGCAGTCGAAAAATCCTCTGGTGTGGCAGCGGCCGGCTCCTCCGGTGACTGGGTCGTCTTCTCTGGCAAGGGTACTGGCGGCTAGAGTTTGGGGTTGGGTGTGGGTGAGGTTATTTATAACATTTCCCTTTTAATCTCAGCCGTCCATCACGATTTAATTTGGGCGATCGCGATTAAAATGGAAATAAATATGGACTGTCCATCGCGATGCGATCTGGGCCGTCCGTGCGCTCGGGAACAGATCTGAGCCGTCCGATCGCGCGCACGCGGATCGCTCACGTGGCCCCGTCCCATGTGGCTTTCCGCATCAGCGTTCCTGCCACGCGACGTATCCTGGTTGGCTGGGGCTGCTGACTGGGCTGCTGACGTGACGTATCTTTTCTAAATTGCGTTTTAACCTCCGGTTCAAAATTTTCACCCATTTTTTCCAAAATCATTTTCAATTAATTCCCAAAAATAATTTTACCCAATTTTATCATTATTATTATTTTTATTTCTATTAAATTAAATTAAATTAAACACATAATTATTACAAAATAAATTAACTATTAAAATAAAATAAAATCCAAAAAAATTTCTAATACAAAAATAAAAATAGTTTTGGGGTGTTACAATTCTCCATTTGATTGCTTGAAAACTTTGACCATGAACACATCATAAATCCATATTCTATTGTGTTTTTATCGATAATTTAAAATATTGTATGTACAGAAGCATTTTATTTGAAATTTTTGTTAATATATTTTTATTTTGATAGTTATGATGAGTTTTAATCAATTGTGTGTGGACTTATATGTGAGTTTATTATGCATAAATGATTATCAATTTAATTGAGTTTATTTAAAACTTATTTATTAAGGTTAGACGGATATTAAACTTTAATATATCAAATAAAATATGTACTTTTTATATATAAAGACCAAAAACTGTATTTATAATTTTGCGATGAGTCAAACTATAAATAATGAAAACTTAATAATATAAAAAGGTGATTATGGTTCCCAAATCATCATACTTATGATTTTTTTTATAATATATTATTTTGTCACCATAAATAAAAAGAGTGCGATAATTTTAAAAAACCACGTATTGATTTAAAAGAGTTGTCATAAAACGTGTAAATTATTATTTTTTGCTATAGATTCATGTACGTTTTCGTTTTTAGATTTAATCTCAGCCATTTAATTTGATACGAACATGTTTTAGATTTAAATTTAATTTATTTTGAAATTAGTACAAATTAAACCTGTGAAATAATGTTATTGGGAAAAATAAAGGTACTATTGTATTCAGTACATTAAAAAAAAAAAAATAGAGAAAGATGGAGAAAGGAGTTAAAAAGATGCATGCATGGATGGTAAGATGTGAGAGAAAGAGTTGTTGAGTTTTACAGAAGAAAAGTAGAAGATATTTTAGGAATTAAAAGAATATGTAGTCACGTGACAAATAATAAAATAAATAAAAGCTTTTTTTTTTTTGGGAATAAAAAGCTAAAAAAAAAAGTTAATACATTATTAATTCCTATAGATTTGTATATAATAATTTCTAAAGTGACATTTTATTTACTTAAAAAAAAAAAGAAAGAAGATTTGTACTCTATATATATATATATATAAAATATGTGATCTGATAAGAAAAAGTATACTTTTTTCAATTAAGATTGAGAAACTAATATTATTATATACATACTCAATATTTTATATGGATGTTTCCAAAGATTAGGTTGTACTCTCAACAAAAGAGAGTGAGTGATTAGAGTTTTAAGCTTTAGTATGAGTTTTAATTACTTTACATGCACATTCAGCAATATGAACTCATATTCATTTACATACATACATATATATATATACACACACACACTATCCTAATGCAGTAATTCACTTTTAGAAAGACAAAGACATTCATGATGATTGATTTTTCTTTTTGCCATTCTTGCTTCGTGACAAAGTTATATATTTTTACAATATGTTCTTGGCTAATTACTATGATTGCTGAAAAAGAAAAAAATATATAATAAAATACTCCAAACGCCACACACGGACCAACAATATATATAAATATATATGTATGGTTTTAGTTATAGAAACATAACTTTTTCTTTTATTATGTTATTTGTAATTTTATTTACAAAGTTGTAAAATCAGTTCAAAAATTAGAGTATAAAATTTATCTTATAAAGGTTTAGAGTCGGGAGCACCCAGAGATGCCGTCAAGGTCATTAAGAATTGTTACTGAGAATTAGTGAACGTTTGAAATAACTGATGTTTCTGTTGTGAGTTTTAAAAATATTATTAATATAATAATTTGTTAAAAACGCTTTAAATTATAGTTGTTCGATATTTAATAAAAATAACTGTAAAAAGTATTGTCACGTTAAATATTTAGAAATTTTATGTTTGATGAAAATGATTTTTAAGATTTTAGGTATAAATTTTTATTAAAGGCTAACTTTTTTTTTAAAAAAATTATAAACTATATTTTTTGTATTTAAATATATACCAAACCATATTTTGATTTTAATTTGTATCAAAAATATTTTTTATTTTATCTATTTAATTTTAAAACGTAAAAATTAAAGTTAAAAACTACCTTAAATGAGACTTTAGAGTACTTGGGCAAGATCAAATCTCATTAGAACAAAATTTTTAGTGATTTATTTACATTTACGATACTTACAAAAAGATTTATTATAATATTTATAAACATCGATGTTGTAAAATTTTTGATAATTTTAATTAATCTAAATGTTAATTTTATATATCAATTAACAAAAAAGTTTATTTCCTAAATGTTTGAATCAAAATATTTAAATACATTATGACGACGACGACGATGATTTAGATTCGATGACATTACACAATTAAAGATTGTTTCGATTCATAGTTCTAAAATTGTAATAAATTTTACCCAAGAAAGGTGAAGAAACAAACTTCCAATTAGATGAAACATAAGAAGATTTGAAAGCACATACATGAATATTTATAGTTTTAAAAATTTAAAAAATATATTTTAAATTTTTTGAATATAAATTTATAAGTGATATTTTTAAAAAATACAACCTCTTTGAAAACATATATAATATAGAAAATATATCACACACCTATATTCCATGACTCAAATAACAATGGATACTTTGTTCACCCATGTAGAAAAAAAAAAAAAATAATAATAATAATAATTTGCAGGGACTGAAAGGTAGAAATTTAAGGCTGTGTTTGGTTTGACCCAGAGGCTAATGCCATTATTGAAAGCCAAAGTTGCATTTAATTATGAAACCTCTCACTTTTCCCTTTTTCATTCTCATCCCCCACCAATTATTCATATAACTCCAAAGATTCTTTTTCCCACTCAACATTATAAAACGACAAACATAACATGGGATTTTAGCCTATATACTTTTTACATTTGTATTACCAAATTTTCACCTAATTCACATCACTTTATGTGTTAAACAAATTTGCATTACCCAAATTATAAAAAAAAAAAAAAAAAAAAATTGTTGTCATGCACTATTTCAATGAGTTAATAAGTTATGATTTTTCACTAAATCGTACATATTTTACTTATAAAAATGTAAATTTTAAGTTATAAATTATATTTTAGAGTTAAATTTTATGATTTTTTATTAAAAGATTATATTATTATTAACGTACATATACTATATTTAATTAATAAAAAGGTACGAATTTATATTTAAATAAATTAAGTGAATTATAATACTGTCGGCAAAATATGTCACCAAAATTAGGTCTCCTTATGCACTAATATATTTGAAAAAAAAAAAAAAAATTAAAAATTTGTTTAAAGAAAACTAGATTTTTTATTTCAAAATATTATTTATTTTATTTTTGAAAATCTTATATATATATATATGTGAATAAAAAATTAAAAAGCTAATTCATAAGAATTATTTATAAATAAACTATTTAGTCATGTTATTTTGTTAGACCAACCTTATAATTTTCCATATCATCCACTAACATGCATTTCCCGTTGATCGTAAAAACTATGTTTACTAAATTAGTAGGAAAGAAATTGAAAAACAGAAAAAAAAAAAAAAAAAGAAAAGAAAATATTTTTGCTTCGTTTGGAGAGTGCAACGCACGCGCTACGAAAGAGAGTGGATAAGACACGGCAAGATCTTTGAAAATAGCGTGTCTGATCTTTACAACCCCACTCTTCCTCAGTAGTTCAGAGAACATATCTCACACGTGTCAACTCGCGTCTCCCGTCCCTCCCCCCTCTCAGCCTCTGTGACTCTACCCTTTGACTCTTTCACTTCCCTGTTTCTTCGCTTTCTCCCCCCTAGTTTTTCTGTTTCTTCAAGATTTCTACACGTTTCTTGAGAGACTTGACACAGGGAAGAAGAAAAAAAAAAAAAAAAACCCTGTAAGAGAAAGAGAGAGAGAGAGAGTTAACTATGAAGGGAGAAGGGAAGATGTTTTTCAAGTCAAGAATGAAATGGGTTGGTCTGGTTGGGCTTGTTCTTTCAGCTTTTTCCCTCTTTGTGCATATATTGCTTTCCAGATTCACTGAGCAGGGTTTTGCCGAGTATCAGTCTTCAATCACAATTTTTTCCTGGAGACCCATCTTTGAAAATGCAGACATTGCCAGAAATGTAAACAACAAATTCTCCCAAAGATCTCTTCTTTCTCTTCTTTCTTTAACTTCTTTTTACCATTCCATTGCCGTCTTCATTTTGTTTCTCTTGCAGATTTGGTGATCCAAATTGGGTAATTTTCTGGGTTTGGATGGGGGAAAGTTTTTGCCTTTCCTTTTTGAAAAGGGCGTCTGTTGTTTTCGGCTCTTGAGTTTTTGATGCTTTTGCCTTATAAGGCTTTTTTGGATCCATGTTGGTTATGGAAACTTCTAAGGCTACGACTACCAACAGTTTTGTTTGTTTCCTTAAATAAGCTTGATTTCGTTTTCGTCTCTAGTTTGATGCCTTCTTTTTAATTGCTTCAATAATTACTCGTCACTGTGGGTAACACATTGTGTACCTTGTTATCTGCTCTGGCTCCCGTGTACTTTGTGCGTTCTGGTTTATGGTTGTATATATAATTATGTACAGTAATGGTTTTTTACTGTGTTGTTTTAATCATTGATATGTCTCGCAGAGTCCATTGTACAGAAGACTTTGGGGTCCAGTAAGGCATCTTGAGTCTATACATCCAGATGCAAATCCTAGAGGGGATTATGCAGGTAAGCTTCCATTTGCATCTTCGTGTTACCATTTCATTCTTTATAGGTCTTCTTTAAAAGATATGGAAGAAAAAATATCTTCCACTCAGCCTGTTTTGATTTGTAATTTTCCTTTTTCTGCTGGTTTTATTTATTAATCTAGGTAGACTAAGATTTAAAATCGTCTCTGAATGGATATAAAGAGTTCGAAAGATAAATTTGAAAATGCTGCTGAATCAATTTGAATTGCTGGTCATGTTAACTTTTGCCCCCTTCTTCTTTTATTGAAAAAATGGAAGTGAAGGATAACTAAGTTAATTCTTTGCTTTCCATTATGGTGCCTCCTGTTAAGCTGGTCTAAAATTGTTCTTAGTTGATGATTTGTAAGAGATGAGTTTGAAATCTTGAGACTTGTTTCTTAATGCTCATTATATTTCCTTGATCCCTATCATCGTAGAACTGTGAATATATGCAGTCTTCTGGAATTGAATTTCTCCATGTCTCGTTTGGCCTTAGAAGGTTGTAGTTGGAATTTGTGAATTTAACAGGAGGTATTCTGAGTGGAAGTGGACTAAAAGTAGTTTATTGTTTGTTATGCCGCGGAACATCTAGCATTTCCTTACTGTCACTTGCAAGGGTCTCCAAGTGCAAAATTGGCCAAGTTAATTTATCTATTTTCAGTAATCAAGTGAATTTGTGTGGCTCCTCCTGTCATATTTACAAGGTTGCAATTCACAGAAAAATTCATCCAGCGATGGCTTATTTTCAGTGGATCTCGAATCTAGATTTGTCGTGTGTATGTAAAGTTTTAGATATTGAATACTGGTGGTTCCTTTTGATGATTGTTCACAATCTTATAGTATGCGGTTTCTATGAAGTAATAATATATCTCGTATTTGTGCAAGTATACAGAAATTTATGAAGAATATTTTCCTGCATTAGTTAAAGTTTGATTACTTCTAGTTCTTTCTTTTTGAGAATTTTTTGAAGCATCGTTCTCCTTTTAACAAAAGTGTGCTTATGATAGAGCCCACATCACGGTCAAATGGATTTATTTTTGTCAGGATACAAGGTGGTTTCCATGATATAAGGAACTCGGTGAGGATGGCATTTTAACTTGCTTACTTGTTAGTGAATTTGACTTTCAAAAAAAGAAAAATGTAACTTGTAAGTTTTATCTTTGTGTTTCAGATTTGTGACGTGGTTGTGATTTCCCGGCTTCTTAATTCTACCTTGGTTATTCCTGAGATACAATCGACAACAAGCAGTAAAGGAATCAGGTTGACATTTAGATGATTGTTAAAATTTTGAATCTACATTGTAGTTATTCTTAGTGTAGCCAGTGAGTATTGTTGGTCAATTTTGTTATCTGTGTATTGCAGTTCGCAGTTCAAGAGTTTTGCTTATCTCTATAATGAGGAGCAGTTTATGGTGGCATTGGCAAAAGACATTCGCATTGTTAAAACCCTTCCAAAAGATCTTAAACAAGCTAGAAGAAAGAAGGAGATCCCTGTGTTTAGAGTGCCATATGCAGCTTCACCTTTTTACTATCTGCACCAGGTTCTCCCCATACTGAGAAAGCATTCAGTGGTTGAACTAGTGGTTTCTGATGGTGGATGCTTGCAGGTACTAAAGTTGTCACCTTTCCTTACACTGACTGGGATTTGAACCTCTTTATTTACTCTTAGCTCTATGCAGGTACTTAAAAGTTTTTAACCGCATGCTCACATTTGAATTTGTACATAAACTAAACTTCTTATAGTATTCATTTTTACGCTCTTCCACTGACTGGTTTGAATCTTTTAGAGTATGTTGTTTCAGTAAGGACATATCCAAACTCAATTGTTATCAGTTTAAACAATATCCATATTCTGTGCTAGTTCATTTTGAGGTTTGCTTCTTTCACGAGTACATATAAGAAAGTAGAAGTAGGCAAGTGGTTAACCTGCATGTTGTAAATAACATTTTGGACATTATTCCATTTATAATTTAGGGTACGTATCTGAACTCCAAATTTGACTGTAAGATGACTGATTTGTTTTATAAATGCTGTGACTCAAGTTTACTTCTACTGTCTTCCTTCATGTTTTCAGATTATGTGCCCATTTTCACTTTTGACATCAAACTTTCCTTTGCATCATATTCAGTCTTAAGGACATGAATGTGCCGAATGATGTTTGCTGCAGTTGCTAGTGGTTAGTTAACTTTTGTGGTATATGCCAGTGTCTTTTATATGTCTGTCATTTTTTTTTTTAATTAATGAAATGAGACTAGGTTTCATGTTCTGAAAGGTAAATTCTTCTTGTGAGACTGGCATTGCATGGAGAAGTTGTTATATTCACCTTGTGTAGGAGTTCGGTGCTTTTGATGTCATTTTGCTAGAAAAATGCTCATAATTTCATATCTTTATAACATCAATATCGGTTTTCTGTGTGTGACCAGGCCATCCTTCCGCCTCATCTTGAAGAGTATCAAAGGCTTAGATGTAGGGTTGCTTTTCATGCCCTTCGGTTTCGGCAGGATGTCCAAGAACTGGCTGCTAAAATCTTACAAAGGTCAATCAGTGCTCAGTATTTGGGATTATCATAAAAGTTCTTTTTGGTTTTTCATTAATTTCTAATGTCTGTTTCAGGCTAAGGGCTCCTGGACGACCATTTATTGCCTTTGATCCTGGTATGACAAGAGAAGCTTTAGCATATCATGGTTGTGCCGAACTGTTCCAGGTACTTTATTCAATCCTT